GGTGAACAGGGAGCTGAGCTACAAGTGAAGCTCTATGTTTTCTGGTTGGTCTACATTTCTACCCTCATTTATGGTCACCAACTTTGGCTGGTGACTGAAAGAACAAGACAGTGAATACAGGTGGTCAAAATTAGTTTTCTCTGCAGTGTAGCTGAACTCAGTGTAGAACTGTTGCTCCTCCACATTGAGAGGAGTCAGTTGAGGTGGTTCAGCATTTGGTAAGGAGGAGGCCTCCATAAGGTTTTCTGGGTATGTCTAAATGGGAGGAGACCCCAGGGAAGACCCAGGACATGCTGGAGAGACTATGACTATGTTAGAAGAGGTGGCTGTGGGGAAAGATGTCTGGACCTCCCTGCTCAAGCTGCCCCCCCCTCCCCCCGCGACTCAACTCCAGAAAAGGTGGAAGATGATGGATGGATCAAAATGTCAAGTAGAAAATTATAAATTCCTTTATTGTCTTAAGCCAGTCTGTGTAGCATAAAGAGTGCAAAGGTGTGTGTTTGTGTGGGTGAGTGTGAGCAGATGTTTCGATTTGAGATTATGTTATTTGTCCCTGTAGTCATTTGTAGGAACACAAACTGTGTGGATTTATGTTTTGGATTAATTTTACAACCATTGCAGGATCCATGTTTGTTTCATTCCTGCATGAGAACTCTTCTTTTTCTGTCTGACTAAATCCAAGGAGCATCGTTGTAGCCAGTCAAAGAGTCTGAACCTTGTCTCCATGGTAACAGAGAATGGACCATTAAACTATGTATTTTATCTAATGGTCCTGACTCAGTGTGCCTGACTTTCAGTAAATAACTTTGGAACGTGTAACATTCTTCTCCTGCCTGAGTCAACGCCTGTGCACGTCAAGGGGAAGGGCCTCCTGATTGCTTGCTCATGGTTTGTGTCAAAAATATTTAACATTTATTTTCTATCAGATAAACCAGTTACTCCGCTTCAGAAAATGTGTCATTTTAGGTTGCATATCAGGAACCATTATATTTATAATTCATCCCTTGGTTTGTAAATGGTTTGATAATATCCTCTTTAATAATGAAAGCAGGTAAACTTTGAGTACTGTGTTTTAATTATTTTTCTTTCAGAAGGTCAAACTGAACCAAGGTTTCAACACATAAATCTGAGCTCAGGCTGAATGAACAGCAACTCAGGCTAATCTAACACGAAACAGAGGACTAAATATCAACATTTTCATTTATGCATTGAATAGGTTTGCTACATATTTGTAAATTACATGTAACATTAAGTCACTAATAATTATTTAAATGTCATTATGGCACGGAAAATGAGTGCAATGTTTTAAACTTCAAACTTTTTTAACTAATTGGAAAGTTATGAGTCCCTTCTAATTATTTTATTGCTTGGAAGTAATTAGAACCATTTAACATACAAATCATGCAATTTAACAATGGATAACTAACTCGTTATAGTAGAAAGTTCAAGGGCTTCATGAGATGTTCCCTTCTATGAAGGAAGAAAATAGATGCATCACTTGGAGTCCAATCTGACAGGAGCTTGTTGTATTTAAGGAAATACCAGAGAGCTGACAGCCCCCCCTTCTCTTCTCTCTACAAGACAGTTCCTGTCTTCCTTCCTGTCTGTGGCGACCACCGTTCTCTGTCTCTTCAGCTAGCTATCCTCCATCAACACTAACAAGCCAATGACTGAGGTCTACTTGAAGCATGACAGCAAACCGGGTTCTATGGAGTGTGTGAAGATGGGCTGTGGTGTTGGAGACCAGTGACTTGCAGTGAGCTTTGTGAGAGGTGAGACACTGACTGTCTCGAATCAGATGCTCACATACAGTATATGAACCCAAAATAGAAGCTTATATTTCAACATAAATTGTTTTAAAATTATTAGAATATGTTTGACATTTCATTGTGCAGCTCAATGATTCTTTCACATTTGTCTTATGGAGCTACTGTCTGATCACAGACTCACCAAACTACACTTAAATCAATGAAAAGTCTCTACAATCGGGCTTTGAAGGTTTTATACCAAAATTTAATCCGATTTCACCACTGTAATATTTTAGCTAATTCGGTATTCTAGAATTTTTCAATTTTATAAATTACAATTTCTTCAAATCAATCTTCAAATGCTTAAATGGACTTGCACCCAAACCATTAAGCAATTATACAGAAACTGCAGGGCTACAGCAGATCTACCAGAGCATCTGTAAATGGCGACTGTAAGGTTCCTTTTCGTAGAACCACTTTTGCTCAAAGTGCTCTCTCTGTGAGAGGATCCACAATTTGGAACTCACTCTGTCAATTTAAAGTCTGTAACCAGATTCAATATGTTTAAAAAACAAACTAAACTCTGGCTGTGTGAAAAACAGCATTGCATTCATGCTTAATGTTTTTTATTATGTTTTAATCCATTTGTTTTATGTGTATGACTCATCTAGTTTAGAAAAATCCTTTAATTTTGAGATATGATCTTCCAATTTGTCTAAACAAATTAAAATGAGTGTACCGTTTGTTTCACCTCTGTTGCACCTTGTGTAACAAGAACGCACAGACTGCACCTGTATCATTGTCCCTAAATATTGTCATCTTATTATGTACTGCAACCAACCAACCAACCAACCAACCAACCATCCATCCATCCATCCATCCATCCATCCATCCA